ACCTGTCCAATGTTCTGGAATCTGACTACAACAAATAGAGTAGGAGGGAATTCTCTTTGTTCTGAGGATGTTATAGTTAAAAGTAGAAATTTCAGCTGATAGGATGGAAATTAGACAAAAGAAGATTCAGGGAATAAGAGCTTTGAAATGAATATCTTCTAATGAAAATCATCAGCAGAAGCAGAAAGTTTAGTATCAGGAGAAAACCTTTGTAGTTCTGTCATTATTACTACACTGAGAACATCATATACCTCAAGTATGTTTTTCTAAGGGATGTAGTCAGATTCGCTACATGGGTAAGTCAAAGTGATAGGTGCTAATAATAACTGGGATGTGTAGAGTACCTTATATTTATCCATAAGATCTTCCTGTAAACACTATCACTTAATCAAGACAATCACCTTTGAGCTAATTACTGTTATGTGAAACTCAGGGAGATATGTGACTTACCCAGGGTCATATATTTAGGATCTTGTAATGCTGAGATTTAAACTCAGGTTGGTCTGACTCTAGTTGTGTGGTCTTTCCATTAATTACAGAACAGGAAAATAACCTAATATCACCACCCAAGTATCAGTGGTACATGTAATTTGGGATAAAATAAAGGAGAAACTATTTTTGTAAATTATCCATTTCACATGCTATATAAACTCTCTACTTTATAGCCTGGTATAGAAGAGACAGTGTAAACCAAAATAAATTCATCCTTGGCTTTGTGACAGTCTTCGTGAAGGAAGTGTTGCTTCATTTGGTTATTAGCATAGTTTTCCTTCTGAACTCCAACTAGATTATGATGCAGTTTTGCTTTTGTCAGGCTTACAGAGTGTTTTAGCAACAAGGGTCCAACTAGGTTCTAGTTGAGGGGAAAAAGGCTGCCTAGAATTGCACATTACTTTCAGATTGTTGTGCCACTCAGAACATTTAACGATGGTTATAGAGCATCACAGGCCAATCAGAGCCAGTCTGGAGAAACTTGTGAGATAGTTGGGTTGGCTATGGGCGCTCAGTGGCTTGAAGCAATTGATATTTATCATAACTTGGTATGGAACTATTTAAATATTAAAAAAAATTTTTTAACATTTATTCATTATTGAGAGACAGAGAGAGACAGAGCACGAGCACGGGAGGGGCAGAGAGAGAGGGGGAGACACAAAATCCGAAGTAGGCTCCAGGCTCCGAGCTGTCAGCACGGAGCCCGACACAGGGCTCGAACCCACGAGCAAGGAGATCATGACCTGAGCTGAAGTCGGACACTCAACCAACTGAGCCACACAGGTGCCCCTATTTAAATTTTTTTTTTAATTTTGTTTTGAGAGAGAGCACAAGTGGGGAAGGGGCGGAGAGAGAAGGGGACAGAATATCTGAAGTGGGCTCTGTGCTGATACCAGCAAGCTTGATGCAGGGCTCGAACTCACCAGCTGTGAAATCATGACCTGAGCCGAAGTGGAACGCTCAACCGACTGAGCCATCCAGGCACCCTGGAACTATTGAATATTTTAACAATCATTATGGATCTAACATTTTGTACCTGTTAAATATCAGCTGTTTGCAGGTATCTCAGGGGGGTATTTTTAAGGGACCCAGTAAGGATGGCCAACTTTTGAGAAGGAAAACTGTAGAAAGAGCAAGAGCCTTGGAATCAGAATAAACCTTGTTTGGAATCACAGTTCTGTCTCCCTACTGCATATGTAAATGGTAACTTACCTGTCCCCTCTAAACCTAAGTTTCTTCATAAGTAAAACAGGTAACATACAACTAGTTGAGCTCTAGGGAGCTAATATCAGGTGATGTATGTTAAGGGAGGTGATGTATAAGGGAGGTGCTTCATAAAGGATAGCAGTTATCATTATTAATCTTCCCTCAGTCTAAACCATTCACTAAAGTTGGGACATTTCCAGGAATAAGAAGGAAGAAAGAGTGAGCAACATGATACAGTAGTGTGTGTAAAATCCATATGGTGAAAGAGGGGTGTTGCTGTTAAGCAGAGATGAAACATAAACACTAAGTAGGTCCTTCCTTCTTACTTAATGTCCAAAGGGACGAGAGAGACCATTTAATCCCAGGCAGTCATTTTGAAAAAGAGGAGTGGGGAGAGAGGGAGAGAGGGAGAAAGATAGGGAGATGGAAGGAGACAATGAGACAGGGAGAGAGAGAGAGAGAGAGGCTTATCTGAACTCACATAAAATATGATGGTTATAAGTGGGACTCAAAGTTCCCAAGTTCGGAGCCCCAAGTGTACGCTTTTTCCTTTACATCACACAGCCTTCCTCATGCCACTCTGGTTTCCACTCTGGGACTCCTCCCAGGGACATGTATCAGACAGACCTCTCTTCTCTTCTGTCTGTATCGTGCCTACACCCAACCAGGGCCTATAAACTGGGACTAAGAGTGAAAACAAGCGTGGGAAGAGAGAAGGAGGAAACAGAGTTTCCATGATGAGGCCCACAAGACCTTCTGCATCTCATTCGCATTTACAGCCAAGATACACACATATCACCCCCATTGCAAAGGCCTGTGGGAAATCCCAGGACAGCCATTTCTCTGTTTGTAGATAGGACAATCTGCACCTCAAACCAGGTTGACTGCACCCCATTCAACACGTCCCCAACCTGCCCTATGCTCTCACATTCCTTCACAGATAGGAAATACATTCCTAATTTCTAGTTCTCTTCCATGCCACCGCAGTTGGGAAGATCTTCAGAGCAAACATTACCCTGAGTATAGCCTTTGAGCATTTGGAGACGTCTGTGGTCTAAAGCAGCAGTTCAATCTATTTCAGGGAAAAGGGGGAATGTTGTTTGACAGTTCCAAGAAAAATTCCAATTAATCAATATAACTATTTTACCCTCCTCTTTCACCACCTTTCTCCCCCAAATAATTTCAGCTGAATAAATACTGAAAGAAGACCACCAGAGACTACTTTCTCTCTCCTTCCCTTTCTTCCCTACGTCCACTTCCACAGTGTGAATGAGTTCCATGGAAGGCTTGTCAAGTACCACAGGAAACATTAAAGTTATACGTTTGGAAAAGAGTCATTCGGTGCTCTCAGTGTTGGGAGATACTAATTTTTTTTTCACCTGGATGGGCTCTAAAGCTAGCAGGACTAAGAAACATCTGTTCATCTGTCCTGGTGTGTAGATAGCTCAGTCTAGAGACAGAAGTGAGGGCGAGCAGCTTTCTTGGCACGTCTTTAATTCTTCATCCCTGTTTCCATGGTAATGCAGCTCTTTCCCTCATGGGCTCATTTTTATTCTCCCCTCTTATTTTTCACATATCTACACCCTCTCTTCTCAAAATCTGTGTTTAAGCAATTCTGTGTTAGGCTTGGGTGTGGGCAGGGCACAAAGCACAGTGGGTACCAGAATACCCACTTCAATTTTGCCCTGCAGGTGGAAAACAGTTGTCAATTATCAAGTGGCAATAAATGTCTGATCTTTTCTCCTTACTGTAGCCTAGAGTGGGCCCACGAGTCATGATCTAAGCTGAGACCAAACCTCCTCTCCATTCTCCATTAGAATGCGAGTCATAAACCCTGAGCTAAAAATGACTGTTCTGATTCCTGTGGCCACTATGTAATGTTTAATCCCAAGGCTCCATCCCCCTTTCAGGGGCCAGGGAATTCTGATGAAAGGTTATTAAGATGGCTTTAAACTCCCTGGGGTGTCCATGAGTAAGAAATCATTTGTTAGATCTCTTTCTATCCTTCTTGTTACACCTTCTGTTTAACCCCGATAGTATTCTAGTAGAGAGAGAGAGAGAGAGAATAAACCTGGCCTACCTTCCTCCTAATAATGCATCCTGTTGCAGGATAATCATGCCAGATCTTTGGCTCCAATCACTCAAGCCTAACAACCCTTAAGTCTGTAAGCTTGGACACACAAGTTGAAAGCCTCCAACCTCCAACCTCCAACCTCCTATCCTCGGCCTCCCACATTACTGTCTAAAAAGTCCCCTTGCCTAGACAGGCAGTCATTTGTGATAGACAGAGTCACCAGTACTCATAAATCCTCATGATCTTATCAAACCATTTCTGTGGGGCTCTTTTCTCTTGTCCTTGTTCTGTGTTGGGGACCTGCCTCTTCTCCACCCACTGGAAAGTGCAGGAGCACAGCGGGGGCCTGGGAAAACCCCAGTGCAAGGATCTTTCCACTCCTCTACCTTCCCCCAAACTCATGTAGGGAGTGACATGCTCAGCCTGGCTGCCTATAAGACGAAGGGTGCTGGAGGATCACAGACCACCCCCCATCCCAGATGAGGCAAGTCATGGAGCACAGACCCCCCATCCCAGATGAGGTAAGTCATTAAGTGGTCAACATATCCACAGATCCATCTCTGAGATGGACAGTCTGGAAAACAACCCTCACAGGTGGTTATCTTTCTAGAACCTTCCCATTGAATTGGCCTGGCATTGTCCGATGGTGTGAATTCTCCCTCGTATCTAATCCCCGTGTATCTTGCTACAGTTTATCTCTTCACCAGCTTTCTTCTGCAGCTTCTGAGGAAAGTAGTCACATCTGCAAAAGCAACGTTGATTTCAGCTAGAGAGTCCCACTTGTTCACCGTTATGGGAGCTGGAATGGAACCTACAAGGAAGTTGAGAAACTCTTCCCCTTGAGAACCTTTCAAAGTTAGGATCAGATTGGAATTACAGCACAAGGGAGTACAGCAAGACACAGAGAGGGACTTCCCAGGTGAGAAAGGTAAAAAAATTCTTAAATATTACTTCAGGCCATCAGAAGAACCCATGTTTTGTGACCCGACACAGAGTACCTTTCTGGAAATAGGAGGAAGGAAAAAAAAAAAAAAAAAAAAAAAAAAAGGGACCGTTTTGTTCCGTGAGGTAGTGATGAATTTTTTAAGGTTGAAGTTGAGAATGTGGGAAATTTGCTCCTGACTTTTCCCTTTTCTTGGCAACGTGATTTCTCTCCTACCTGCTTCCTATCTCCCAGCACCATCCCAAATCAGTAACATCTTAAAATTGAGGTGGAAATTATACTCACCTGTCTGCTGGTAGAGAGCAGCGTGTGAGGCGAAGCGGTTATCAAAGCCTGGCCAAGCCCTTCCCAGGTATGGGGACCTGAGTGAGGACAGTGACAAAGTATCATATTGCATGTTGTACCTTTCTCTCTGTCCTCATGAAATTGCTGTTGCCAGCTCAGAAAGGGGAAGCGGAAATGAGAAAACACACACACACACACACACACACACACACAGTCCCCGCCTCCTACCCCAGCCACATCCTTTGCTCTAGCTCTGGAGACTGAAGAACAAAAGATCTGAAGTCACTGAGCTCACCACTAAGGAGCCCTTCCTGTCTGAGTGCTGCCTTGCTCTTTCCAAAACAAGAGATCTTTTCCTGTTAAGGGAAAGGCACAGCCTATTTAATAACATGTGCATGGGAGTCTTCCTACCACGTAACTGGAATCTCATGACTGTGATAAAGCTTGCTGTCCCCAGGAGGAGGAGTGTCTGAAAGTTCGCTCATACGTATCTCAGAGAAAATGCTCACAGCCCTATAACACACTTGAGACCGCTCTAAGCCAAAATCGATCGGTTTGCATAACTCTTTCACACTCTGGTAAATTCTCTAGAAGCTAGTTTTCAAATACTGCATGCCATCGTAGGCAACTTCTTTTGGGGTTGGCTTCTTAGCCTTTTGCTTTTATGTTCAAATCCCTTTAAAGTTTTTCTTTCTTTTCTTTCTTACTTTTCTTTTATAAAGAAATGATTGCTTTCCCAAGGAATTTTTAAAGGTGAAGTTTTAAAACTCTGTCACATCCTAGAGATGTCTCCAGTTCATTGGCTTTCAGTTCCAAGAAGCTTTCTTAAACTCTGAGAAGTTTGCCTCCATCCCCAATCGCTGCCACCCTGGACTAGCATTCAGCATCGTGGACCAGCCCTCGCTCCACTTCTCCAACATCTGCCAAGACTGCTTCCTCTCTCTTCACTTGATGTCTACCGTTCCAGCCATCTCCCATCCCTCTTACCCAACTGTTTCCTTCGTTGTAGCATTTATTTACAAATATTTATCACAATACCCTTGTACGAGGCATATCTTGAATGTACTAAGTGTGACTGATTTTCACATATCTGTTCTTTTCTTTCTTTCATTTCCCCATTCTCTTCTTTCAAATTTTATGGCTGTCACCACAGGTTCATCTCTTTTTACCGTGTTCCTAAACTCCATTTCCAATTGCGAAGAGGACAACTCTTTGGCTATCCACAGTATAGCTATAGTGTGGTGGGAAGAAGCCGAAATAAAATTCTTGATCATCAAATTAAGTTCTCTAAACATTATTTTCTTCAAGGGTAATATGAGTAAAATAATAATTCTCTCTGTTTCTCTTTCAAATACACACATACACAAACACACACATACACAAACACATTTTTTTTTTACATGTAGGGATGAAAATGTCAAATACATTTTCCAGTATGATAGTAGGGTGCTTTCTGAGAATTCCTTCAAGGTCAACAAGTAAAAAAAAAAAACAAACCCAAACTCAGCATTCCCTTGGTCTCTTTATCACTATTCTACACTATTAACTACAAAAACTAAACCAGTGGAAGCTTTAAAAAAATTTTTTTAATGTTTATTTATTTTTGAGAGAGAGAGAGACAGAATGTGAGCAGGGGAGGGGCAGGGAGAGAGGGAGACACAGAATCCGAAGCAGGCTCCAGGCTCCGAGCTGTCAGCACAAAGCTCGAAGCCGGGCTCGAACTCATGAGCTGTGAGATCATGACGTGAGCCGAAGTCGGAAGCTTAACTGACTGAGCCACCCAGGTGCCCCATAAACCAGTGGAAGTTCAGGGAGGTGAGTGATGGGTATTGAGGAGGGCACCTGTTGGGATGAGCACTGGGTGTTGTATGGAAACCAATTTGACAATAAATTTCATATTAAAAAAAAAATTCTTTTTAACCCTGTTTCTGAAATGCAATTTTTTCCTTAACAGTTGGGGTACTTCCACAGGCAGTTCATAAATATGGAAGGGCATTTTAATTTTCAGAGTGACCATCAAGCTGCTCCTGGTTTTCAGTGCCTGAGGGCCAAAGATGCTAAATGTCTTTGAAGGTACAGGACTTTCCCGCATAAGGAACAATTGATTGTCCCGGCAAAAATGTTTGCATTCTGATACACACTGGTCGTGTCACAGTTAGGAGAGCAGGCTTTGGTATCAGACTCCGGCACTAGGGGTCTTTGCACTCCCGCACACATTAATGAAGGCCTCAACTTCCTTGTCTGCAAAATGCAGACAAAGTTCCTTAAAGGAGGGGTTGCAAAGCCATAGGAATAAAGGAACATAGGGTATTGACCCAGCACAAATGCTCAAGTTCCAGCTATGTTTTCCTAGCTCTTTAATACCGTTTTCACTATATTCAGCAAGCCGTATGTCTGTATACATCAACATCGCTTCATTTCTTAAATAAACCATTTCTCAAGCCAATTTCTAGAGATTTTTTTTTTGTTAATTAAAAAAAGAAAATTGCTATTTTGTGTGATTTTTTAAAGAACATTTTCTTTTTCATCAGCGGTGGCTGGAAGCCACGGGATTCCTAGGAAGAGAAGGAAGTGCGGACGTGATGGCCTTCTTTCTCAGTTGTTGGCTAATTCCCTTTCCCTCTCTCTCTCTCTCTCTCTCTCTCTCTCTCTCTCTCTCATCTACTCTTCCTCTGTCCTTTGCAAACATGAAGTGCCCGGATATCTCTGACACTGTAACATGCTCTGATCATGTATCACACGTGCATCCTGAAAACCAATTGCCCTTTGGGTGCTACATGCAGTCTGGGACTTCAGGGTCTTTTTAAATGACGTTTTGCTCGTTCCGCCCTTGATTAAAAATAAAAACCCTTATACTAAATGAAGCAACCACGTAATGCCTATGCAATTCAGCAGATTAGCGCCTCATTGCATGGCCAGTTTGTCACTCTGGATGCTCTCCCTCCTGCGTTAAGGGATTCAGTATATAAACACTGAGACTGGGAATAGAAGGGACCCTCAACTTTAACACTAGCTGTATGATTGTTACTTAGTTTCACTGACATCAATTTTCCTCTTGTGAAAAATATGGAAATATGTCAAAGATTCTCTTGCCTCTAGAAATCTACGATATCTATCCACACAAGTGTTCTTTTCTCTCATATGATCACATGAGGTTAATTGTGGAAAATGAAAATATTAAATGACAGACTTTTGGTAAGAAATCATTATAGGGGCACCTGGGTGGCTCAGTTGGTTGAGAGTCTGACTTTTGATTTCGGCTCAGGTCACCATCCCTGCCCATGATCCAAGCCCGTGTCAGGCTCTACACTGAGCATGGAACCTGCTTAAAATTCCTTTTCTCTCTCTCTTTCTCTCCTCCTCTGCCCCTCTCCCCAACTTGAATACCCTCTCTCTCTGAAATTAAAAAAAGGGGGGTGTCTGGGTGGCTCAGTCAGTTGAGCATCTGACTTCGGCTGAGGTCATGATCCCTAGGTCAGTGGGTTCAAGCCCCGCATCAGGCTCTGTGCTGACAGCTCAGAGCCTGGAGCCTGCTTGGGATTCTGTGTCTCCCACGCTCTCTGCCCCTCCCCCACTCGTGCTCTGTCTCTCTCTCTCTCTCTCTCTCTCAAAAAAGAAAAAAAAGTTAAAAAAAATTCTTTAAAATTAAAAAACAGAAGTTATTGTAAAAGTAATAGAGAATACATTAGAAAACAACTCTTGTCCGTTCAAAAGCCAAGTAAAAATTGCTCATGAATGATATTATCCTCCAGATAGGTAGCCTGATAGCAGTGATAAGCCAGAACAGTTTCTGAACACCAATGCACCCCTCAAACAGCCAAACTGGAGCTGGGAGTGAGTTCTGAAGCTGCCGAATTGAGAGCTCAGCTGGCAGGGTGCCCAGCCAGACCCAGGACAGAGCCAGGAAGGCTGCTCAGAGAGGTTGTCCCATGACAGAGAAGCTGTGGCTCACAGCCCCTCCTCCCAGGCCCTGATGCAAGTGACCTGCTTCCATTTCAGTCCTCAGCTTTCTCCTTTCTCAGATGTGTGGCTTTGCAAATGCCCATTCTTCACTGAGTCAAATGCCCTTTCTTCACTGAGTCCCATTCCTTCAAATTGCTGATGGGGGAGTTAGAGTGAGTTTGTCTCCTTGCCATAGCAAAGGTTCAAAAGTAGGGACAGTGGATGGAATCTTAGGGGAGAAAGCGATGGTTCAACTAATCAAGGGTTTTCTAAACTTTCTTCAGACACAAAAGGGTCCACCAGGCCAGGGTCATCGTCTCCTTCTCTTTGCTTCTATGTTCTGGGAGTTAAGGGTTCCAAGAAATGGGATTTGCTAACTTTTCTAACACACCCATCCTCCTGAATCACTCAACTCAATTGCAGGAAAGTCCTTCCTTCTGTCTTGCTCTATCTTCCTTGTTTATAAGTCCTGCAGAATGGGAGAACACATCTGTTACAGGCCTCTGTAGAGTATATTCCTTCAGAGATCTGAAATTATAACTCTACTCATACTGGGTAGTGCCAGAAATAAGCTAGATCCAGGAGGATATGAAAATAGACAATATAAAATGCTATCCATTAGAGGGCTTACTTCCAGGCTAATCTAATAATTTGGGGAAACACGTGGTTAACAAAAGACAAACTTGACTGTAAGGCACACCTCCTTGAAGTTTTTAATAAGTGATGGAAATGTGACTTTCCTAGAAGGAGAGAGAGTTTGTAGTTCCCAAATATTATATATATATATATATATATATATATATATATATATTACATACATGTTTATTTTTTGAGGAGCACCCCAAGGAAATTACTTTGGGGAAAGTTGTCCACTACAGCCACTACAGTTCTGTCTTCTCTAGATTAAATAGTGACACTCACGTGTTTCATCATACTCAGATGGTTTGAGCTCAAGATTGTTTGACTCTCTGGTGAGCTACGTTCTATCTTTCTTCTGATCAAGCCTGTTTAATTTAGAAGCACAGGGCCTCACTGGGTTTCAAGTGTGACTCACATAGTGAATACTCAGTGTTTTACAAGCCTGTTGAGAAGGACAGATCCTGGGACCCA